TTATATCAACCATATAATAGAATCTTTTTTTTTGAATTTACTATTTAGTATTTGCGACAGTGATTTTTTAAAATGAGTTTGAAAATATATATATACACATTAATTCATACAGAAAGAGGATGAATAATGTGTAGAGTAAAAATTTGAAAGATAAGAAAATGTGTTGAGACAGACAGAAAGAGAACGCTTTCCTTGATTTTAGGAAGAGAGAAAGAGAATATTCAAAGAAAATATAAGAAAAAGGATAGAAAATGATCGACTGAAAAAGAATAAAATAGATGGATATGAATATTTTGATATATATATATATATATATATATATATATTTTTTTTTTTTTAAGCATTACGCCCCGAGCAAGGCGTGAAGCCACTAGGATGCAGGGGGTTGCAGAAGATTTGGAGCGAGAGCAGATAGGAGTGATAGAAGAAAGGATGAGGAGAAGGATAGTGGATAGATCAAGGTAACTGGAGATGTCGATTGACATTACATTTGAATAGTTGGAGATTATAGCTCTCAGGGAAACAGTAATAGGGAAGGGTGTTCCACAGGCGAGAGGTGCGAGGTATGAAGCTATTGGAGTAGAAGAGACGGCTACATTTAAAAGTTTCTACAGTGAAAGGGTGAGAGCGGGATGCCAGCCTCGTAGGGCGCTTGAATTCATCGAGTCTGGGAACCAGTGAAAGCAGCTCATCGGAGCAATTGCCATGAAAGTATTTGTAAAAAAAGACAGAGAGAGGCGACGGCGCGTCTGTGAGAGAGTGACTGTAGACGAGATGCCAGATCAGGGCCAATTATATTACATATCCACCTATGGATCTTGTCAAGAACTCCGAGGTAAACAGAAGGTGCCCCAGACCATATATGGCAGCAATACTCCATGCAAGGGCGAATGGTTGATTTGTATATTTGAAGTATCGATTCCGGGGAGAAAAATTTCCTGGCGCGGCACAGAGAGCCAACTTTCCTTGCGGTGGACGAAGCAATTGACTCAATGTATTTGTTCCATCTCAGGTCAGCAGTCAACGTGAGACCGAGCAGACGCAGGGAGTTGCTCTCAAGAAGTTGACTATCAGACATTCTAATGGGGGGGCAGGGAAGGATCTCTATGGTGATTAATAGAGAGTAGTTTAGTTTTTGAGGCGTTAAAGTTGACCAGCCAATTCTTGCCCCAATTAACAACCGATTGGAGGTCCATTTCAAGACGCACGGCCAGGTTAGTTTTGTCAGCGACACTAGATTTGTTTTTGAGGCAGGAGTAAATTGTAGTGTCGTCCGCGTAGATGCCAACTTGGGAATCTATGGCGTCAGGAAGGTCGTTGATGAAAATAAGGAATAGAGTGGGGCCAAGGATGGAGCCTTGGGGAACACCTGCGTTCGTGGGATAGGAACTGGAGGAGAATCCGTTGAGAACGACCTTCAATTCACGGTTTGACAGGAATGATTGTATTAGGTCAAACAATCGACCTGTAATACCATAACCCTGGAGCTTGCGAAGAAGGCCGGCATGCCAAACCCTATCAAATGCTTTGGAGATGTCTAGGGCCACGGCACGAGCCTCACCGTTATTTTGAAGGGCTTGGTAGACGGTTTCAGTGATGGCCGTAAGCACATCAGCTGTAGATCGGGCATAGCAGAAACCATATTGCTTGTCTGAGAGCAGATCATGGGATGTAAGGTGGTTAACCACTTCGGCATTGATTAGGGCTTCGAAGACTTTGCCGAAGAGGGGTAGGAGACTAATAGGACGGTAATTAGAGGGTTCAGAGGGGTCTCCAGAGTTCTTAAAGACAGGAACAATGGATGAGGACTTCCAGCAGTCAGGAAAACAAGATTCCTTTGAGGCAGTAAGTTATATAGTTTAGAGAGGGCGGGCGCCAGCTCAGGCGCGCATTTTTCAAGACAATGGCTGGTATGCCATCTCCACCACTAGCCTTGTGGGGGTCTAAATTGGAGATAATGCCCAATACCAATGACGGGGTTATGTTTATTGCTCAATAGGGCCTCAGTTCTTAGAGGGAAGTCTGGTATGGGTACACTGGAGGAGTCGAGCGTTGAATTAAATGAGAATTTCCGAGCAAAGCATTCAGCCTTGTCGGTAGAGGAGGTTAGGACCTCGAACTGGTTGAACAAAGGAGGTATGGAGGGTTCGTATTGTTCAGGACGCTCTTGCAGAGCCGTCAATAATCTTTGGAGCCAAATTTGCGAGATGCAATACGCTCCTTCATCCGAGCAGCAAATATTGACTTAGCTTCGTTGAGGATACGATTACACTCGTTACGGGCGGAGGCAAAGAGACGTCTATTGCAGCCCGACATGTCGCTACAAAATAGGTGAAAGAAGTGGTTCCGATGGGCAATGGCAGCTGAGCAAGCAGCGGAGAACCAAGGGGAGGAGTGCGACTTGACCTTAAATTTCCTTGAGAGGATGAAAGCGTCGATTCCAGCTTTAACCCAGGATGAGACCTCAGAAGCACATTCTTGGACAGGGAGTGTAAAGACAACATCCCAGGGGACATCGCAGAGGAAGTCACGGAACGAGTCCCAATCCGCTAATTGATAGTAGAACGAGGTTCTATTGATAGAACGGGGTGTGGAGTTGAAGGAAATGTTAACAGATACTACAGCATGATCGGAGTTACCAAGAGGGCAGAGCTGCGTGGCGATAGAAGATTCGGGGATGGAGGTAAAACATAGATCGAGAAGGAAGACCTTACCTTCCAGGTTGAGGGCAAAACGCGTGGGGAAGTTAACTATCTGCGTGAGGGATTGAGAAATTGAGAAATTAAGTGTTTGAATGCCTGCCCGGTCAGTAGTAGCGTTCTTGAGCCACTTGGTATGATGGGCGTTAAAGTCACCAAACACGAATATGTGAGCAAACGTGTGGAGAGAGAGGGCCTTGTCTATGCTGTCAGATAGGATATCGAGTATCCCTCAGTCATGAGAGGATGGAGAGTGATAGAGGAAGAAGAGATAGCTTACGGCATTGAGGAGAGATAGTTGGAGACACATGTACGAATGGTCTGGCGATTCGAGAGACAACTCTCTGGCCAGGGGAGATGGTCCTTGACATAGACACCAAGGCCGTGCATGTGGGTTAGAGAGTCTTTCCTGAGGAGAGGAAGGTATGGGGATCGAGAGATCAGAGGAGGAATAGACGAGACAAGGTTTGTCTCACACAGAGCCAGTATATCCGGGCAGTTTGCAGTGAGGAAAGATTCCATACTGCAGAAGTTTGTTCTAATAAAACGGATGTTGGAGAATGAAATGTTGAGGGGTTTAGGTGATTTTTGAGGGGCTGGTTTAGGTTTACTTTTTGGTTTTTTTGAGTCTTCATGTGGAGTAATCGTTTGGAAGAGATAGAAGGCCTGAAGTAAGAGAAGCAGATGGTTTTCGACCGCAACATGAGCAGAGAGGAGTTGGCACAGCCTGCATCATAATGTGGCCTCAGGTTTGCCCACCGGAGGTGACTGCAGGGACACCTTTCCATGCGCATCATGGCACTACAAACATCCCCGGTATTATACAACTGTTGATCAGAGCGGCCGCTCAAGACGCTACGCAAGAGTTAGGGCTCCCTAACTACCAGTCGGAAACAGCAACCAGTGAACTGTCAACCGTGTACCCTCAAAATGAAGAGGCAATGCCATAGACTGCACACGTCACGGGAGAAACACATCAGCACTAGTACAGAGGCCAGAGAGAGAGAGAGAGAGAGAGAGAGAGAGAGAGAGAGAGAGAGAGTAAAAAAATTCTTTCTAGACATGAAACAAGGTGTGAGCCTCTGCTCATGTCCAAGAAGAAGGGGGAATGTTGAACGGTGGGTAGGAGGGTCTACCTATTTCCTATTACATATAACACATACAACAACGACAAAAAACAAACAGAGGGATAAATGTTGAAGTGGTTGATATAGTGCCCAGAGTTGACACTGTTTTTTTTTATTATGAATTTGTTATTATAGGATGGAATTTATTATTAATTTTATCAAAAACACAACATTCTTTTTTAGTTTATATTGAATATATAAATCCCATTGTTCTCATTCTAAAAAGAGAAAAAAAAAATAAGATTACACCACCTTTTTGGATTTATCAAAATTATATTTAAAAAAGAAGTTTTTGTTTTTCTTTGATATTAATAAATAAATGTGTTTCTGATGGTCACCAGTGTTTGTTCCAAGTTTTTAATTTTATGATTTAAAAAGTATTTTCTTTAACTGGACTGATTTTTAAAAACATACAACGCTGATGAAGAGTGGGATGTCAGAAGTTTTTAGGGGCTTCATCTTTCTTACACAAAATAAAATTTAAATTTATAAGTTAGGTTAGAAATGGTTAGACCAAGTATCAATGTTAAATTAGTCGGACAGAAAACTTTATGGAGAAAAAAAAAAAAAAGATAAATAAATAAAAAAAATTACATAAATAAATACAACGAAACGTTGGAATAAATATATATATATATATATATATATATATATATATATATATAGAGAGAGAGAGAGACACTTTTGGAACATCTTGTAGAATATAATTATATTTATATATATGGCTAGAAATTTATTGTCCACTTGCATTCTGATTTATAATAGGTAGTAAAATCTAACACTATCTCAATATTAAAATCGAGATGATCATATTCGAAATAGTTGGGAGGTTTTGGAGTAGAAATGGTTCAACTTTTTTTTAGTTAAAATTATATATATATAAATATATATATAGTTTATATAGATAGATGAATATATAGATATATATATATAGGAAAAAAGGTGAAAAGAATAGAGGTCCAGATAGATAGATAGACAATTTAGAGACAAGTTGAACGAAAGATGTAAAGAAGAGAATCAAGATAGATAGATAGATAGATAGATAGATAGGAAATAGATAGATAGATATATATATATATATTATAGAAAAAAAGACAGATCTGACATAGAATCAGATAGATAGATAGAATAAAAGAAGATAGATAGATAGATAGATAGATAGATAGATAGGATATCAATAGATACGATATTTGTAGATTGATAGATAGAATAGATAATAGGCAAGATAGATAGATAGATAGATAAAGGTAGTAAAGATAGATAGAAATATAGAATCAGATAGATAGATAGATAGATAGATGTGTTTAGATAGATAGATAGATAGATAATTAGTGAACAGATAGATGAATAGAATTAGATAGATGAATAGATAGATTTTGATAGATAGATCGAAAGTAGAACGAGAGATCTGAATAGAATCAGATAGATAGATAGATAGATAGATAGATCTCAGTAGAACGAGACAGATCTGAATAGAATCAGATAGATAGATAGATAGATAGATAGATAGAACAGATAGAACGAGAGATTGAATAGAATCAGATAGATTTGGATAGAAGATAGATAGATAGATAGATAGAAACTCAGATAGATAGATAGATCTGAATAGAATCAGATAGATAGATGGATATGATAGAGATGTAGAATGAGACAAATAGATGAATAGCAATCAGATAAGAAGATAGATAGATAGATAGATGGATAGGAGTAAGAATAGAACGAAAGAATTAAAGATCAGATAGATAGATAGAATAGATAGATAGATAGATAGACAGATAAATAAAATAATAGATAGATACAAATATAAATCAGATTAATAAAATGATAGAAATAGATAATAAGATAGATAGATCTCAGTAGAACGAGACAGATCTGAATAGAATCAGATAGAAGATAAATAGATATGATAGATAGATAGATTTCTTTAGATAGATCTTTATATCTAATAGAACGAGACAGATCTGAAAGAATCAGAAAGATAGATAGATAGATAGATAGAAAGATAGATAGATAGATAGATTTAATAGAATAGAAAGAGACAGATCTAGAAATAGAATAAACAATTAGATTAGATGATAGATAGATAGAAATCTTAGAAATGATAGATAGATGAGCAAAATATGTGCACTGGGAGAGAGAGTCACAGAAAAAAGTAATGGAAAGAACAATAGGTTGAGAGAAAAAGTGAGAAAGAAAGGAAAGAGGAATAAAGAGGAGAGGAGCCAAGGCGAAAATCAGAGAAAGAGAATTAGAAGTTAAAGGGTGAGAAAGATAGAGGGAAAGAGAAAAGGAAGAGGGATATATATATATAGAGAGAAATATAGCTAGAGAATGTGAGAAAAGAGCGATAGACATATATATATAAAGAGAGAGAAAGATAGAGGGGGATGAGAAAAGTGAGATAGAGAGTGAGTGAAAAATAGACACAGAAAGAAAAAGAAAAGTACGAAAAGTGGATTGAAATGTGAGACTGACGGGAAAATGGCGAAAGTGATAGAACAAGAGAAAAGGAGACAGGGAAGGTCAGACATAAAGAGAAAGAGAAAAGCAATAGAGAAATAGAGAGAGAGAGAGAGAGAGAGAGAGAGAGAGAGAGAGAGAGAGTGAAACCCTTCCTAGACAAGAAACAAGGTTATTTGAACTACCATGTCCATAAGAAGGGGGGAGGTTGACCAATTATTCACAAAGGAGGGTCTAAACTCCTATTACATATAAATACATACAACGACAAAAAACAAACACAGGGATAATGGAAGTAGTTGACATAGTGCCCAGGCTGACACTAGGTGTATGTTCAGGGGGATAACTTAGTATAAGTCCCATTGTTCTATTCTAAAGAGAGAAATGAAAAAATGATTATCCAACTTTTTGTGGATATGGCATAAACGCTAGCTCACTTGTGGCAGTGGGTGATATTCGTAGTCCGCATGCATTCTGATGGTCACCAGTGAGTGTTCCACGTTAGTACATTTTGTCAAGCAAAAGACAAGGCCACTGGACCATAAGAATCTTGAAGACATACTAACGACTGGTGAATTTAGAGGGAATTAATTCATCAGTCACAAGGCCCATTGGATGGTATTGACATTTTTCCTTCTTTCGATATGGGGGGATTTTTCAACAAACAAACATATAGTGTTATAAGTTAGGTTAGAATGGTTAGACCAAGTATCAATGTTAAATTAGTCGGACAGAGTGGCGGGAGAGAAAAAAAAAAAAAATAGATAAATAAATAAAATAAATACATAAATAAATACACGAATATTTGGAATATATATATATATATATATATATATATATATATATATATATATATATATATATATAGAGAGAGAGAGAGAGAGAGAGAGAGAGCCGTGTCGTTCGGCTACGTGTGTAAATTTGTGTGTGTTTATGTGTTGTTGGCTACATTTGTATCTCTCTGTTGTGCTTTTGTCCACGGAGTTCCAATCCTGAAACAGCACCTCCGCCATGGCACCAAAAAAGTTGAATATAGAGGTCAGCGTGACGAGGATTGCGAAAACTGGGCAAATTTTGAGATTTGCCTGTAAGCATGCGATCGGACCCTCTATTTTAAACCAGCTTTGTACCACATCCCAATAATTGGTGGAAAAAGGAAATATATCACATGCAAAGGTAAATATTCTATGTCGATTGTGGATCAATGCTGTGAAAATATTATTAAAGACAGTTGCTGCAAAGTTCTCAGCTCGACCAATAATCACCCCCCTCCACCGCCAAAAAAAAAAAGGATTTGACGTTTGGTCAAATTTCTAGATTGAGTCGGGCTGAGAAATTTCAGTCCCTCCCCTGTGTACTGATTTGCCCTCACTGGGTAATCCACTTGTTTCAAGTTTAATGTTTTATCCTATCGTTGATGTAGTTACGTATTTCTCAATGGTGACACAGATCGGTGTTCGAGTCAAAGCATAATCTGGAGTATAAATGCTGATTTTCGAGGCAGTCAAGGGCTTCTGACTGGGAAGATTAGTGAAATACATTCTTTCTTTTTTCCGACGCATTTGATAGATTTGCACACGTCTAGGAGGTACAATACCTTTTTTTTTATTAATGCGCATCATATACAAGGCCTAAGATCCACTCAAGGTAGAGGTTTAACGAAGGAAGTTGTGTAATTGGTAAGAGGTACAGTTTATAAAGATGTGGGAAAGATAACGTTTAAACCAAGGCACTGAACAAGTCAGGATTGATCGAGAAAACGTCCTCTAGGTTCCACAAAGTGGCTCTTTATGGGGAAGAACCTCTTCGATTAGATCTTATGAAAGGAATGAGGGTGATTTGTTTCTGTGTATGCAGTGTGGCTGGTCTTAGCCGTGTGGGACAGAGATAGTGGAATGTAACTCAAATGAACATTTTCCATGGAAATAGCGATAGAGTAGAGAGAGGCTGGCAACGTTTCGTCTGTGGAAAATAAATTAACATCAAAGTCATTTTCGTTGATTTACGCTCTTAACTTTAAAAATTCATAATCCTCTTCTGAAAAGCACAGTGAGACACGTTGAAATATCATCTTTTATAATATATGGTTCTCTGTGTCGTGCCAGAGGTGTGTCTATCCTACACATCTACAAATCTAACGCTTATCCATACATTGAATACTGTTGCCATATATGGTCCGGTGTCTCGCGACAAAATCCAAAGAAGGGTCTGCAATGTAATCGGGCCTGACTTGGCATCTCGTCTACAGTCACTTTCTCGCAGACGTATTGCGGCTTCCCTCTGTCTTTTCTAAAAATATTTTCATGGCAACTGCTCTGACAAGCTTTTTTCCCCTGGTGCCCTGACTACATGAATTTAAAGCCTGCTACTAGGTTGGCATTTAGGTCCCATCCTTTTACTGTTGAAACAGTTAAATGTAACCTTCACTTCTACACCAACACATTCTTCTCTCGCACTTCCCGACAGTAGAACTCCCTTCCGTTTACTTGCTTCCCTTGATAACTATAATCTTCAAAATTTTAAATGTAGCGTCAAACGTCATCTTCTAATGCCTTCATCCTCCTTCTTCTTTTAATCCTTTACGTACCCCCCCATACTCATTATTTTCTCTTATTTTTACTCTCTGTTAACCCCCTGTGTACTAGTGACACTCCCGCCTCGCTTGGAGTGAAATATATGTGTCATAAATTTCAGTCGCGTGTGAAACGAAATCATTTGTTCAAATGCCAACTATTGAAAAAAAAAATATATATATATATATATATAGTTTTTTCAATAGTTGGCATTTTCTACTTTCGTGGGAATAACTCAACCGATAAAGAACGTGAAGTTTACTGCTTTAAAAGTAAAAAAGTTGCACCATTCAACAAACAGCTATACGAATTTGAAAAAAACCTACTCAACATTATCAACAACATCTCCTTTCAAAAAAAGAAAAGCCACTTTCAAAAACATCTGGATCAAATAGTTAAAAGCATTAATGATTGTGACAAAATATTAGTTAACTTCTACAAATTGGCTGTCGATGACTACAACAACTTAATTAAAAAAAAAAACGTAACCAGGACTTATAAAAAAAAGCTTGCAACAACAACATTATTATGGTTGATAGCATAAACAGAGCTAGTAAAAAAATAACTGATAAATTAAAAATTAGCGATAGAGTAGTTAAACTTGCTGAAAAGCAATGTTACATAACTCTTAAGGATCATAAGCCTGACTTTTTAGAAAACCCTGCAACTAGAATAATTAACCCTACCCGACCCGACATAGGAAAGATCAGCAAAAGGATCCTGGAAAAAATTACCTGCCAAATAAAAAAACAACTGGAATTAAAATTATGGATCAATACTAAAGATGTCATCAATTGGCTTAACTATATTGATGATAAACCGAATTGCACCCTAATACAGCTCGATATCGTGGATTACTACCCATCAATTTCGAAGGATCTATTTACGACTGCCCTGGACTTTGCTGCTGTGTATTCTAACCTGACAAAGGAAGAAACAGATATAATCCTTAGCGCAAAGAAATCGGTCCTCATTCATAATGGGGACCAATGGATAAAAAACAATAACGACCTGTTTGACATCACTAGGGGATCATTAGAATCTGCGGAGTCTTCTGACCTTGTTGGTCTTCTAATACTGTACAACTTAACGGCACACCGCGAAATTGATATTAAGGACATCGGACTATATAGAGATGACGGGCTCATGGTGGTGAGGAGTTCTACTAGTTTTAAGATAGACAAAATCAGAAAAATTATATTTAGTGAATTAAAAAAAAACTAAACTTAAAGATAATTGTCTCTTCTAATTTGAAAAGGGTAAACTTCCTCGACGTAACTCTAGATTTACCAGGCAACACATACCAACCTTATCAATAGAGCCATGGGGGACGGCTGTAATAAGGCAAAAAAAGATCTAGAAGAGTGGCCGTTCGGGAAGACATTCATTTCATGATTTGATAAGAAAGATTGAATCAGATAAAATATTCACACATAACCTTTCAACGTGTGAAGAAGAACTGTATCTCAAATGCCTTCGAGATACCCAACGCAACAGCCCCAACCTTACCATTGTTATCTGTTTTTATTTTGTCTTGTGGTGTATTTGTGTGCCTAACGCTCTATCTCTGATATTGAGCACTTTTATATATAGTGTACCATAAAATTATATTTTTATACACACACACACACACACACACATATATATATATATATATATATATATATATATATATATTTCCCTGACTTGACATCTATGAAAGTAACTCTATACTGATACTTATTATTAACACCCAACACACGCCTACCCAATTTAAACAATTCGCCCTAGCTGTTACCATGGAAATTTTGATTTCAATTATTAAAACACGTAATTTCAGAAATACGATATTCCAAAAACAATTTCGCTTGAAGATGGAACAGAGCTTACTTTAACTCAATTTAATTCAAATAATTATATTGAAGTTTTCGGGTCTTGTTTTGAAACATGAGACCTCTTATGTCGCGAGTTGGAATCATATTTTTTTAAATAAATAATTATATTTATGCTCTACTTTTGTATCGAGCACTATTTTTAAAAAATAATAACTAAAATACTAAGGAACTTTGGATTATTTACCTAACCAGTTCCTTCCTATTTTCTATATATATTTTCATATAATATATATATATATATATATATATATGTGTGTGTGTGTATGTGTTTGTGTTAAACCGTATGATGTTATTTTTCCTTTTGGCTTTTTTTGGAGTCTGGTGTGTATTTGGGTGTTACCAAGATTTTTATCACACACACAGACACACACACACAGACACACACACACACACATATATATATATATATATATATATATATATACATATATGAATATCGACTTAAGGTATGCTATATTCTTGGGTTAAAGCGTTCAGTATCAGAGAAAGATTTTATATGAACGTAAAATTCGATAGCGATCAAGCATGGACAGTATGTTTCATGCCTGAACACAATCATTCCACCATGAAGATTGCGTTCAAACATGAACCAGACTGTCGCGTTGGTCTTGATCTCAGTGTCCAATTATATATATATATATATATATATATATATATATATATATATATATATATATGTATATATATAATAAAATAAATAAATAGTTA